ATATTTTCTCTAAAATCTATTAACATAGTATTAACATTTCCCTAAATCTCTGTTCATTTTCTCCCTTCTTGTACCCTCTCTGTTGTTCAGACTCCATAATCTCTATTGGCCTGTCTTCGAATTCACCAATTCTTCTGCTGATCCGAGTCTCTGTGAAGCTCTTCTAGTGAGTTTTTTTATTATTATTATTATTATTTTAAATATTTTTAGTTGTTAATGGACCTTTATTTTATGTATTTGTATGTGGTGCTAGGAATCGAACCCAGTGCCTCATGCATGCTAGGCAAGCGTTTTACCCCTGAGCCCCAGCCCCAGCCCCAGCCCTCCAGTGAGTTTTTAATTTAGCTGCTGCGCTCTCCGGTGCTGCATGTCCATTTGGTTGTCTCTTCAGTGGAGTCTGTTTCATGAGCCACCGTCATCACATTTGCCTACAGTTCTTCACGTGGGGTCTCCTCTGGTTCTTTGAACTTTTCATAACAGCTGCTCTGAAGCCACCTCTGCTAAGTCCAACGTCCTTCAGAAACAGTGTCTGTGGCTGCCTTTCTTCTGTGTAGGAATCGCGCTCGGCAGTTCCTTTGCCTGTCTTCTGACTTCTTGGTGGAAAACTGCATATTTCTGATAACACTGTAGCAACTCCAGATACGGATCTCAGGACTCAGGGCAGCTGTCCTGCGTGCTTGGTCACTTGTTTGTGCCCTGCCTGAGTTAACCCCATGACGTCTATTTCCTTGCAGCATGTAGCCTAGGATGGTTAGGCTCGGAGGGTTTTTTCCTATTTTTATGGTGACCTTGTCTTCCTCAGGGTTGCCCTGGAGCGGCATATCTCAATCATCGGTCCGAGTTTGGGCTTCCTGCCTGAGTCAGAGCCCCTCCCTCCTGTGGGGTTGAGTGTGTGGCTTGCAGGCTGCTCCTGTGGCTGAGTGTTTGTGTTTTTGCCCACGTTCGGACAGGGACTGGTAGTTTGCAATTTCCCTCCCTGCCTACTTGTGCGACAGTGCAGCCTTGCTGTGTGTGTATGGGCTTCCAGGCTGCCAGGGAGCAGTTTTATTTTTAAGCTGGGTTTCCTAGGAGTGGTGACCAGGGCAGAGTAACCAAGGTCATGCTTCAGCCCCTGTACCAGCCTGGCTGCTGCCTCTTGTGGAGGGTCTGGTTGCAGCTCTGACTGTTCCTGAGTGGGTGCAGCCTAGTGCGTGGCCACAGCTCTCCCAGCTCCAGGGTGGACTGTGACCCCCTAGGGCCCTTGGTGGCCATCTCCTTCCCTGGTTTCTCTCACTCTTCTGGTTGCTCTGCCACTTTCCTTGTTGTACTAGTATGGAGATGTTGAGTGCTCTCTCAACGGCTGTCAGTCAAGATCTCCGTCTTGTTGGACAGTGCTCACGGGCATTGTTCCAGAAAAACCGGTTCCCAAGGGCAACACGGCGGAGCTCTGTCTCTAAGGCTGCCTCTCCCGCTGGGAGAGCACCTTTGCTGCTCTGTAGGAACTGGGAGGATGGCGGAAGCCAAGCCTTACTAGAAAGATACCGCCTCTCTACAAGCTGGTGGGGCGGGCTGGGATAGGAGCCTCTGGTCTTTTTTTTTTTTTTTTTTCTTGACAGTGCTGGGGATGGAACCAGGGCTTCATCAGTGCTAGGCGGTGCTCTGCCACTGAGCTCCATGGCCAGGCTGGCCTCTGGTCTTCTTGGTTTGCTTTTCCTGACATGAGCCGCGGGGATCTAGTCTTGCAGGCTGTCTTGCCTGTAGTGGAGCTACAGAATCATAGACAACCCCAACATCTCTGTGGCTCTCAAGAACAAGACTCGATTTCTTGCTCATTTTCCACACCCCTTATAGTGTGTGGCTCTGACTCAGTTCCATGTCCTCTTTATTCCAGAACCTGGATGGAGAGGCTGCCCTTCCAGGGGGACACCAGGCTCCTGGCAGATGGATGAGAGTAATGGCAGAGCCACACTGGGCTTTTAAGCTCCTGCTCAGATGGGGCATGCGCCATGTCTGCTCAGGTTCCAGATGTACACTGTCCTGGTTGGAGGGTGGGTTGTGACAGAGGGCCAGGGCCGGGCTGTGGGTGGAGAGATGAGCAAGGGCAGCAGGGACAGCACGGCCTTGTAAGCCATTTATTCATTCAGAAAGTAGGAGCAACACGCTTAGGTATTGGATCAAGTCAGGTCTGGGGGCTGGGGATGACTGTAAGGGTCCAGCGAACGTCAGAGGAAGAGACCACCAAGAGACCGGCTCATGCAACAGCAAAAGCGGTTTATTGAGGATCCAATCCGGCACGCTGGGGCTCCGTGCTCACTCAACAAGGGAGAGCGGCTCAGAGCCCTGAGCAGGGGTTGAGCAGTGCTTAAGTACACTTTTTGGGGAGGGCGGGGGCCTTGCATACATCAGAGCAAATCATCATGAGGCACGGGAAAATCAAACAACAATTCTTAGACATGATTAGTACATTCATTGGCGGGAACAGGTCGGGTGGGGGTGATAGGTCAGTTCTAAATCGGGGTACACATTCAAACTGATTGGTTTAGGCCCTGCAATGCCTACGTGCCAAGCCGCACAGGGTCCTAGGTTATTAAACAACCAGATGGTCAGGGGGAATATTTACTGGGCAGTTCCGGGTATTGTCCTAACAGCTACAGGAATTTCAGGTTTTGGGTGTACCATAGGAACTTAACAATACCTGGTCCTTTACTTTTTAACTCAGGCCTTGCAGCTTAGAAACTTTACAATGCCCGGTCTTTTACACTTTAACTTCAATTTCTTTTATTCTTACATGACAAGCCTGACTTCCTAGTGGGAAAAATCACACGAGAAGCCGGGGAAGGGGGAAGAAGGTTGCAGACTGGAACACACTACTGCTGAGGAGTCTGCACTTAATCAACAGACTTTTTTCTTTTCTTTCTCCTCCCTCCTCTTCTCCCCGCCACCCCCCACACATGTCAGGCTAATGCTCTACCACCAAGCTGCATACCCTACAAACCTAGGGCTTCTTTTCTGCATTCTCTACTGATCTCTAGCATTATCAGTAGACAGGAGATGGGGTGAACACAGCCGGTCTGGGGTTCACTACTGGGTTTTACTCAAAACCTTCTCTAGGTCAGGCTTTGTTCAGAATCAGTCTTGAAACAGACAGAAGGACCCTCAGATCCCTTTGTGAAGACCGGGCCAGACAGCTAGGTGGAAACTTGACTTTCTGTTTACTGGCTGTGTGACTGGAAGTAAATTACTTAACCTCTCTGGAGACAACACTGCATTTTAGTGGTTGCTTCTTCCTTTGTGAAGTAAAGCTACTAACAACACCTACATATGTAATCTCTGCAATTTAGGAGGCTGAGGTAGGAGAATCTCAAGTTCGAGACTAGCCTCAACAATTTAGAGAGACCCTGTCTCAAAAAATAAAGGGCTGGGGGTATAGCTCAGTGATAGAGAGCCCTTGGGTTTATTCCCAAGTACAGCGTGGTGGGAGAAAGGAGGATGTTTTAGCTTCTTGTCCTGTAGGGGTTTCAGGCCCCGGGGTCCAGTGGTCCTGCCCCTCTTATGGGTGAGGAAGCTTTGGGAAAACTTTTACCTCGCAGCTGCAAGGCAGGTGGTGACTGGCTTCACAGGTAGAAGTGGTGGGAGAGGGGCAAGCCACGCCCCCCTCTCCAGGAGGATTCTGATTGGTGGAGGGGCGGGGCGGGGTCCACCCTTGGGATATATAAATGCGTTGGTGCGCTGGGTCCTGAGTTATGCTGTGGTTAATTCCTGCTGGCCGGTGAGGCTTCTTGAGGGAGGAGCCGGCTGAAGACTCCCAGGTTGACCTTGGGGTGTGGGGGGAGAAGAGGGGTGGTTGGCACCTTCTCCAGAGCCCCTTGGTTGGCATCTCTGTGAAAGGTTAAGGGAAGGTTAGGGAAGCAGCTTGAAAATGAGGAACTGGGCTTGGTGGCGCGCACCTGTAATCCCAGCGACTCAGGAGGCTGAGGTGAATCTCAAAAGGTGGAGGGCAGCCTCAGTAATTTAAAAATACCCTGTCTTAAATTTTAAAAAATATTAAGAACTGAGCCAGGAGCTGTGGCGTGCATCTGTAATCCTAGCGGCTTGGGAGGCTGAGGCAGGAGGATTGCGAGTTCAAAGCCAGCCTCTGCAAAAGCGAAGCACTAAGCAACTCAGTGAGACCCTGTGTCTAAGTGAAATACAAAATAGGGCCGGGAAGGGCTGGGGATGTGGCTCAGTTGGTAGAGTGCTTGCCTCGCATGCAGAAGGCCCTGGGTTGAATCCCAAGCACCACAAGGTGGGTCGGGGGAAGGGCTGGGGCTGCGGCTCAGACACAGAGTGCCCTTAGATTCAATCCCCATCACCACAAAAAAACAAACCATAGTTTGAGGAGGCCCCAATCTCAACTTTTTCTAAATCCAGCTATTTGATGTCATTCTCTTTGGTCCTCAGTTCCCCCTTGATATAGGGGGCATGTGCCCTTCCAACTCTTTGGTGTAAGAGGTGGTTGAGATCTGGGCAGCAAGGGGAAAGTTCTCAGGCTTTTTGAATATGTGGGTTCCACCTTCACCTAACTGAAGCCTGGTTGCTTCCTTTGCAAAATAGGTCCCTGTTACACCCGCCTCCCAGGGGGCAGTAAGATGAAGCCCTTAGAGCTTTTAGCACAGTCCCGAGCACCTAGGAGGTGCTTGCTGCTGCTGTTACTCTCTGGTCCGTGCACCAGGAGGAGGGTGGGGGTGCTGCAGTCCTCAGCAGATCTTTGCTTCTTTCCTGGCCTCCCCATCTGTCAGGCCTCCCAGGTGCCCTCTGTTCTGAATCCTTGAGTCTCTGCACCCTGCCCTCCACCTCCCCGTCCTCTTTCCGGCCAGCCTCACCTTCCTCTTTGATTTGTGGGAGGTCATTGTATAGGTACCAAGTCCTGAGGCTGCTGTATCTGCAGGTCCCCTTGCTCCACCCTGCCCCACCCTGCTCCTACTCCCTATGAGATAAGTGATACCGGAGACCCTGCCATTGTTCCCGTGGTTATCACCCAGAGAAGTTGGGGGACTGCAGCCAACAAGGGGGGGGGGGGTAATGGGTTTCTTCATCCCCACCAGGGCCAGGAGTCCAGGCCTTCCTCAACATTCTGGGTGAGTTTCGGGAGGCTGGCATGGGAGGGGTGATGGGGTCAAGAATGCAAAGAGCTGTGGAAGGCAGGGTCCTGCTCTGCTCAAGCCGGCCTCCCAAGCCTCTCTGGTCACGTGTGGCAGGTGGGAGGGGAATCTTGTCAGAACATGGGTTCAGTGGTGGTTTGGGCTTTGACCATTTTATCTATGGGGCATGACCTGTGTCCCCTGTTTTTCTTCTCTACCTCCAGAGGACAGCTTTTTCCAGGAGTTCCTCTCCAAAGACACCTGCTTCCAGATTTCAGATACGGTAAGGAAGCAAAGTGGGGTGTAGAGGCTGGGGTCACTTGAGTAGAAGGTTGACTTAATGGGATTCAGTGCTGCTGGGTCCCCTGGACTGTTGGGGGAACCCTTCCCCTTATCTTTGCTGGGCCCCTCATTTTACTGTCTTTTCTTCCCTGTCCAAAACCTCTGGGGTGTGAAGGAACCTGGCTGCTGGCCTCATCCCCAGGGCCTCTGGCTGCCCCAGCCTGTCTGCAGTTCCTCCTGGCTGTGGGGCTGGTCTCCTTCCGGTGTGCTAACCTGACGCTCTGTGAGCACAACCACAGCAGTTCCTGGCACTATGAGTGGCAGGAGTGGGCAGCGGGACACTCCTGAGGGTGAGGGTATGGTAGGATAGGACAGGGCGGAGGCCATAGACTTGACCCTTGACCTCATGCCCTTGTGTTCCTAGCAAATGAGATGGAGGAGGACTTGGAGAAACCTAAATGTGAGATTTTTTTCCCATGGGCCCTGGGGGAAGATTGGCATTCCCGGGTGGGGAAGTTCTAGGACTCAAGGGACATACTGTGGGCACGAATGGGCTTCTAAGCCAGCGCTGTGAGCAGGTGAGGCTGGGCTGCCATCCCAACTCACTGTCCACTCTACTCCTCCCAGGTCATGGCCAACAAGCCAACCCACTGGACCTGGACTCGGAAGTGGTGTCCCCACCATGGTGAAGTTCAGAGGGATTGCTGTCAGGCCCGGGGCCCCTTACCCCATGTATTAGGCTTCTCTAGAGGAACAGAATCAACAAGAAGTATAATTATAAAAGGGGGGCTTATTAGGTTCTCATATGTGACCAGAAGTGATAGTCCACAAAAATGGCCATCTGCAGGCTGGAGAGCTGGGGGAACCAGTAGCTGGGCAGTTTAAGATGCTGAAGCCCCAGAACAAGAGGGATCAGTTCTACCCTAGTCTGAGACCAAAGGCTTCTTGAGAATCCACTTTGAAAAGTGAAGAAGCGAGAGTCTAATATCCTCAGACGATCACACCAGCAATCAAGAACCTGTTCAAGAAGAATTGAGCTTGCATCTGCTGCTGCCTGGTTCTTCCAACTTTTATTCCATCCAAGCCATCATCCTATCGGTTGGTGCTGCCCACGCTTAGGGAGGGTCTCCATTTCAGTTGGCTATTCCACATGCCAATCATTCCTAGACAGAGTCTCATTGACAAACCCATAACCCTCCTAATCCTTGGAATATATTAATCTAATCAAGTTGATGATTCACATTAACCATTACACCCCGGAACCCTGGCCATTTACCCCCACACTGTGGCCTGTGTGGTTTGCCCCAGCATCTCAGGTGTGACCTCCCACACCTCATCCAGCTGCCCTTCCCTGATCTCTGAGTGCCATCCACCCTGCTGCCAAAATTGCTTCTCAGTGGCCAAAAACCTCTGGGGTGAGGACTTCCTTGTTGTCTTGCCTCCCAGATGCAGCTAGAGCTGGGCACCTACACCTTCCACAATGAGCTGGAGACAGGAGCTGAGGAGGGTCGGCTTGGGGACCTGGGGGGTGGGAGTGGGACCAACAGGATGTGGGAGGGGGGCAGTTTCCCCTCCAGGCTCACTCTGTGGCTCCTCCCAGTCTTCCCCAAGCCTCCACCACACCTGGGGACTGAGTTCTGCAGCTGAAGAGCTGCCTGCCTGTCTACTCCCCTATGTAACACGTGTCCACCCCCACCCCCAGCCTCCCGTCTGGTGGGCCTTAGGTGGCAGCACTGCCCCTGCCCTACCCTTTCCTCCTAACAATGTGTACCCGCTCTGGTCCTGATCCTCTAACTAACGTGTGTCTACAGGACACCAAATGCTTAGGTCTGGCCTGGTTCCTTGACCCAGTATGACGGTAAGAGGGTCAAAGCGTTAGGACCTGTGAGCACAGGCTTTGAACCAGCTCTTCCTCTTCCCGTGGCGGCCGGTCTCTGTCGTCCTGAGCCTCAGTTTCCCTTCTGTAATATCCACCATCTATGAACAAGGCGCTCTACACAGCGTATCTGGGATTCAATGAGCTGGGATACTCGCAGCCCTAAGAAGGGGCCCCCAAACCTACTGGGTAAAGTTTAAATGGAAAATGGCTCTGTGGCCAGGTCAGAAATGTCTTCAGGGTCAGACTTGAGGATATTTAGGAATAATAATGATTAAATAATAATATAATGTAGTGATTATTATCATATAGTTCCCTCCCCCTCCCCCAAAGGAAAGGCATACTGAGCACTCAGTAAATTTCTTGCTACTGAAGGAGAAGGAAGGCTTCCCAGAGGAGGCACATTTAACTGGGCCTGGATGTTCATGGGAGGGTAGTCTAGGGCAGTGGTTACCACTTGCCCTTTGGAGCCAAACAGTTTAATTTCAAATTCCAGGTCCCTGCTTGTTATTTCAAGTCTTGTGCCTCTGTTGCCTGGCCTGTCACATGGGTATTGTTTTGCAATGAGTGTTGAGATTTGAATGGGTTAATCCCAGGAGGGTTCTGATGCTGTCTGAGGAGAGGGGAGGGAAGGTGTGGAAGTAGTGAGCCCAGCAGGGGTGGCTGTTCACAGAGGGGATGGAACAAGTGGGGAGTGGGGAGAAGTCTACAAGTCTGATGGAGTTACTTGCCCGCTCTAGAGTGGATCTCAAGGGGCAGAGTAAGAAAGCCTGGAGATGCCAGCCAGGTGCACACCTGGAATCCCAGCTACTTGAGCTGAGGCAGGAGCATGGCAAGTTCGGGGCAAGCCTCAGCAACTTATTGAGATCCTGTCTCAAAATAAAACTTAAAAATGGGGTGGGGAACTCCTGGGTTCCTGAGCATCCCTGGGCTCAATCCTCAGAACTGGGGAGAATTTTAAAAGCCTAGAGATTGAGGACGTTAGAAACGAAGCTAAGGACTAAAAAGTATTGGGAGGGAGATGGGAATGCAGCTGCATGGAAGTGCACGCCTAGCATGCGGGGTGCCCTGGGTCCACTCCTCAGTAGCCCCTCAAAACAGTACTGAATTTCAAATAGGCAATATTTCACATGTACATTGTGAACCAAGAGTCCCTTTATTCCCCCAACTCCCCGCCTCCTGGTCCCTGCCCTAGAGGCAATGAAAGTGGAGTTTCTTACATCCTTTCAGGAAGGAATCCAAACATACATCATCAAATGTGGCATTATAATCATGCACACACATCTAAATGGCACAGAGCTCCTAAGACCTATGGAATTTCAGGGCAATAGAAGAATCTTTTGCCGTTCATAAAAGTCCCTGAATTATTCATAAGGAGACTGCGCCAAGACCCACTCAAGGGTGGCAACTCTGAGTGGGGGATACTGAAGAGACAAACACTTTGAACACAGGTGTGCTGGGAGCAGGAGAGGGCAACTCTGCACCCTAACCCCATACCTCACCTAGTGCCAGCTTCCATCTAGCTGTTCCTGACCTGCTTCCTTTATCATAAACCAGTAACAGTGAGTCAAACACTCTCCTGAGTGCTGCGAGCCTTCCACCACATTGCCAAGCCCAACGAATGATTTAGGAACCTTCAAATTTAGTTAGCTGGGCAGAAGTGGGGGTGGCTGGTGAGATGGAACTCTTAACCTGTTGGGTCTGTTACAAGTTCCAGGATGGTGACAGAAGGAATGGAATTGTGAACATGGTCCATGCTGGAAAGTTGATATTTTGTGTCAGAAGTATCAGAAAAATCACTGAACCAAATATGCATCTGTTTCTCACCGCTTTTTATTAAACTCTGGTAGAATTCCATGCATCCTGCTGCTGACCTAGCAACATATTTTTTAATTTTTTTTATCCATATGTCCCTTTTTATATTCCCATTTTTAGATACAAGTAGTTATAAAGTAACTAGTCCCTTACTGACCCATACTTGTTTCTTCACTTAATAGCAGGCTTCTGCTACTGCAAGCTGAGCTTCTGTGAGTGACTTTGTAAGGATGTCATAAACATGTAAAAAAAAATTATCTGTAGGGTAAATTTTAAAAATTGCTTTGCCAAGGAATAAGCCCAAATTGTTTTTTTTTTTTTTTGCCAAATGTCCCTCTGGCTATTTACCACCCCTCCAGTAGTACATAAGAAAGGCTTGATTTTTCCAGAATTCTCACCAACCCATGAAGTACCAGATTTTTTTTTTGTACCAGGGATTGAACTCAGAGGCACTCGACCACTGAGCCACATCCCCAGCCCTGTTTTGTATTTTATTTAGAGACAGGGTCTCACTGAGTTGCTTAGCGCCTCACTTTTGCTGAGGCTGGCTTTGAACTTGGGACCCTCCTGCCTCAGCCTCCCAAGCCACTGGAATTACAGGCGTGCCCCACCCTGCTCAGATTTTTTTTTGTTGAAAAATTAAGTGGAAAATGATTTCTTGGTGAAGTGTTAGTTCATACTTATTTTTTTTCAGTGAGTTCAAGTGTCTTTTCTTATTTTTAATGATTCTGGCTTCTGATTAACAGATAACAATTCTTTTTCTACAAATGGAGAAAAATAGCCCTTTAAAATACTAATTATCCTATTTTCTTCAGTTCATCCTTTGACATTGCATGTTAGTCAGATTTCTGTTACTGTGGCAAAATACTTGAGAAAAACAACATGAAGGAGGAAAGTTTCACAGGTTTCAATCCATGCTTGGCTGGCTCCATTTTGGGGGCCCAAGGCGAGGCAGAGCATCATGGCAGCAGAAGCGTGTGGCAGAGGAGGCTGCTCTCCTCATAGCAGATGGGAAGCAAAGAGAAACAAAGTGGCCAGGGACAAGATATAGTCCACAAGGACAAGCCACACCAGGATCCACACCCTTCAACTAGGTCCCAATTCCTACAGTCCTGCCGCCTCCCAGCAGTCCATTCAGCTCTGAATCCCTTAATGGATTAACCCATTGATGAGGTCAGCATCTTCCTGATCCAACCACTTCCCCAGATCACCACTCTGAACATTGCTGTGTCTGGGACCAAAAACCTTTACACATGAGCTTTTGGGGAACATTTCAGATCCCAAACTACAGCACAGTATAGATGGTTTGTGTGTGTTTGTGTGATGCTATGGATTGAACTCAGGCCCTTGAACATGCTAAGCACATACTCTACCACTGAACTGCATCCTCATCCCCTGCATGGTTTTTGTTTTGTGGTACAGTACTGGGGACGGTGTGTAGGGCCTCACACATGCTAGGCAAGCATTCTTCAACTGCCTATACCCCCAGCCTTGTATACATTTTTAAAAGCAAAAAATAAAATTTGGCCTGGGGATGTACCTCTGTGTAGAGTACTTGCCTAGCATGTGTGAAGCCCTGGGTTAAATGCCCAACAATGCAAAAAAGAAATAAAATAAAATAAAATAAATAAATAAATAAATAAAGCAAGCAAGCTTTATGGCTTCTGAGTGTTATGTTTATGTTCTGAGTGTGTCATAGTTTAAAAGACCTTTTCCACACTGAGATGTTTACAAAGACTTCTCCTTTAGCTCCCGGTTATAGATTTTTTTTTTTAAAGAGAGAGAGAGAGAATTTTTAATATTTATTTTTTTAGTTTTCAGCAGACACAACATTTTTGTTTGTATGTGGTGCGGAGGATCAAACCCGGGCCGCACGCATGCCAGGCGAGTGTGCTACTGTTTGGAGCCACATCCCCAGCCCTAGATTTTTGTTTTCATGCTTTACATTTGTATCTTGAGTTCATTTGGAACTTCTTCTAAGATGCAAATTATGAATCCAACTTTATTTTTTCCCCTAGATTGTCCCATCCCCACTTTTTTTTTTCCTGATACCAATGATTGAACCCAGGGGTGCTTAGCCACTGTCCTCTGTCCTTTTTTATTTTTTATTTTGAGATAGGATTTCACCAAGTTGCTGAGACTGGCCTTGAACTTGGGATCCTCCTGCCTCAGCCTCCCGAGTTGCTGAGATTACAGATGTGTAGCAACACACCCAGCTGCCCCTGTCTTTAAATTTTTTTTTTTAGTTGTTGATGGACCTTTATTTTATTCACTTATTTATATGCAGTGCTGAGAATCGAATCCAGTGCCTCACACCTGCGAGACAAGTGCTCTACCACTGAGCCACAACCCCAGTCCCCTCTTGTAATCTTAATTGTGGTTAATTTATAGACTATTTAAGCAGAACTGACACGTTTATGAGGTATTTTCATATCAGAATGAGGTGTCTACCCCCAGCCTTTACTTCTTTCCAATGGCACCAATGGTCAGTAACCCCCAAATCTGTACTTCTATTCTGAGCATAGGGCATTTTTAGGGCAGTGAAACTTCTCTCTGATGCTGTAGTGGTGAATACATGACATTACTCATTCGTCTGAACCCACCAACTTACAATGAACCCTAAGGTAAAGGATAGGCGTTAGTTAATAACGTTGCATCAATATTGCTTCAGCAACTGTAACAAAGATGCCACCCAGATGGATGCAAGATATTAACAGGAACAGCTGCTGGAGGGAGGGAGGATATAAGGCAACTCTGTCCTTTCTCAGTAATTTTCCTGCAAGTCTAAAACTGATCTAAAAAAAAAAAGTCTTTTAAAGAAGAAAAAAAATAGAAATATTCCCATGAGTGGAAAAAGCAGACTCACTTTCTCCAGCAGTCTGCTCGAAACCCAGATGGCTCTGACCCCGAATGTGTGAGGGGTTTTCCCTACATACCAAGAAAGCAATCAGTTCTG